AAGGAAAAAAAAGTTTTTAGGTTTCCAAAATTTAAAAAAAAAAAAACAATTTCCAAAAAAATCATTTAAAAAAATACGAAATTAAAATAAGTTTTAACCCAATTTGGATTTTTCTTTTAAACTTGGACCCCACTTAAAATAGAATGATCAAATTTTAAAAACCCAATTTTAAAAGTTCTTTGTAAGAACAATTTTAAATAGAATTTTGTATCTTTAATATGACCAAAAATAATTGATGACCATTAAGACCATTAATACCAGTAATGAATTAGTTTCAAAAAAAAAATTTTAAAAATAATGGGGTTTTTCCCCCCATATATATTTTCTTGACCCTTTTTATGTAATCCCAAAAATAATTTTTAACTTTTTTAACTTTTACTTAATTAAAAAAGCTGGGAATATGACCCAAATTTTAAAAACTGGGAATATAACGGGAAAATTTTTTAAAAGACTGAAAAAATGACCCCAATTTTTAAAAACTGGAAAACCGTACCAAATAAAATTCTTAGAAACTTTAGAATTTATCCAATTTTAAATAAAAATAACATTAGAACCCCTTAAAAAAATATTTTTAGGCGTACTTTTTTTTTATTTAACTAAACTGTTTCCCCAAATTTTTTTTTGGGGGGTTTATTTCTTTTACCCCAAAAAAAATTTAACCCATGGGGGGTAAAAATATTTTATTTTTTTTAATATAAGGGGGAAAGGGGGGTTACCCGGGGACCCCATATATTTTTAAACTAGTTCGGGGAATAGGGACCCCCCATTAAAAGGGGGGGGGAAGGGGGAAAGGGGGAAAAGGGGGGGGTTTTAATACTTTTCCCCAAATATTGAACACTGAATTTCCTTTTGGGCCAGTTCTTTTTGGATTCAAATTTTTAAAGGACTGAACATTTTCTTATATATAAAGATACCCCAATTCTTTCACTGTAACCCCAATAATTTTTAAAAGAAATTTTTTAAAGAAAAAACCTAAAAAAAGGGAAAAACAGAAACAGGAAACCCCAAAAAAAGGAAATAAAGACTGTTTTTTTAAAAATTTTTTGAAAAGTTTGAACGGGGGATCCTTTAAATGATTGATCCCCACCAGTTTTCCCCTAAATTGTATATCTTATAGTTATCCCATTTAAAAAAAATTTTAATTTTTGTTCCAAAAATATAAAAAGTCTTTGGGGGGGCCCAATTTTTAGGGGGGCCCCTTGTTAGGGGGGACCCCAATTTTATAAACCCCCCCTTTTTGGGGACCCCATTTTTGAGGGGACCCCTTTAGGGGGGCCCCTTTTTGGGGGGCCCCAACTGTTTGGGGGGACCCCCCCTTTTAAATTTTCCCCAAAACTTTAAGGGGCCCCTTGTTTGGGGGGGAAACCCCCCGTTGGGGGGGGACCCCCTTTTTAGGGAAACCCCCCTTTTATTTTTATTTTGGGGGGGGCCCATTGTTAAAGGGGGGCCCCCCGTTTAGGGGGGTAACTTTGGGGGACCCCTTTTGTTAGGGGACCCCAAATTTTTGGGGGGACCCCCGGTAAAAACCCCAAAAGGGGGGTACCCCACGTTTGGGATCCCACTGTTGGGGGTCCCCTTTTGGGGGACCCAAATTTTTGGGGGTACCCAATTTAGGGGGTACCCATTTTGGGGTTTAATTTTGGTTAAAATCGAGGGGTAACTTTTTGGGGGTAAACCCCCCTTTTTAACCCCACTTAGGGGGCCCCATTGTAGGGGACCCATCGGGGGTTTTAAAAATTTTGGGTTTTAATTTTTTAGGGGGTAATCTGAGGGGGAATGTTTGGGGGGGTCCCCCTCGTTAGGGGGATATCTTTTGGGGGTAAAATTTTTAAAAAAACCCCGTTAGGGGGGCCCCTTTTTTTAGGGGCCCCCCCGTTAGGGGGGTACCCCTTTTTTTTACCCCCTTTTGGGGGGGGAAAAAAATTTTGGGGGTTTTCCCCATTTTTAGGGGTAAAACCCCTTTTTTAGGGGGTTTAAAAGTTGGGGGGGGGGGAAAATTTTATTTTCCCCCAAAAAAGCCTTTTTAATTAATAAAAATAAAAATATAATTTCCCCTTTCTTTTATTATTTTTTAAATTTAATTTGGGTTTAAAAACTTTTTTTAAAAAAGTTTCCCTTTTGGGGATAATTTTAAATGGTTTTATCCCTTTTTTTAATCCCCCAAATGTAAGATTGTCAAAATAAAAATTTTAAAAAAATAGACTAAACGCAGAACCCAATTTGAACTCTAAAAAGGATCAGCCCTTTGAGTGCAACCAACTCAAAAAGTTCAAAAAAATAAAAATTTACAGAAGCACCCAGGGGCAAGGGGTTGGCCAAAAATGCCTAAGGGGATTTCCTTTAAAATTAGTAGGTTTACTTTTTTTTCTTAAAATTTTGAGGGGGCATTATATAAAAAATTTACTTTAAAATTTTAAAACAGTTAAAAACTCCCCCGGGTTAAAACCCCCCTTAATTTTTATCATTATACATTAAAACATTCTTTTTTAAAATAAAAAAACTTTGGGTTAAAAAACCAAAAATAAAATTTTAAAAAATTTAGAAAATTAACCCCTTTTTTTAAAATTTAAAAAAAGGGTATTTTAACCCCCAAAAAAGGGGGGGTTTTCCTTCCCAAATAAAATAAAACCCGGCAAAAGTAATAACACAAGAATGTTTTTTTAGTACAATAAAAAAATTTTACGGGCCAAGTTCGGGTGAGGGCATTTTCGTTTTAAATTTTTTTAAATTTCTGCAAAAACTGTAAACGAATTTCTGTTTTTAAATTCTGCTAATTTTTAAATTTTTCTTTATTTGTTTGAATTTTTTAGTTTTTTTACCTCAGGGAAGGGGGGAAAAAAAATAATTTAAATTTGAAATTTTTGGGGAAGAAAAAAAGAGGGGAGAAAAAGGGAAAAGAAAGGAAAAAAAAGAAAATTTTTTAAAAGGAAATTTGGAAAGAGAAAAAAGAAATTTAAAAAAGAGAAAGAGAAAGGGAGAAAGGGGGAAAAGAAAAAGAAAGGGGGGGAAACCCTATAAAACCCCTTTAAATTGAAACACCCAATTTAACCTTTTGTCATCATGTAAATTTTACCTTTAAACACTTGTTAAAAACTTACTTTATGGAAACTATTAAAACTAATTTTTAAACCAAATAACACTTAAAAAAAAACTTTATAAAAATAAATTTATAAAACACATGAACCTAACAAAGAAAACACAGAAACCAAGGAAATAAAGTAACCTTTTGTTTTTTTTTAAATTAAAGTAAAACTAATTTTTAACATATTAGCTTTTACCCTTTTGTAACATTTATTAAAACTTTAAAACCCCTTTTTTAAACCCGTGTAACAAATTTTTTTATAGCTTTTTGAAATTAAAGCACTTTGGTCCTTTTGTAAAATTTTTCTTGTAGGGGAAACATTGTTTAAAAGTACCTTTAGAAAAATTTTTTAAAAGGGGAAAACCCCTTTTGTTTTAACCTTTTAAATAAACACTTTTTGGGGAACACTTAGAAAAACCTTTAGTTTTTCACTTTGAAAAATTTTTTGCCATTGTTTTTAAACTTTTTGGGTTTTTCACTTGTTTTCATTAAAAAATTACCTTTTAAAAAATTTTTCTTTTAGTACCCACAAAAAGGTTTTCAGAGGGAAAACCCCTCGTGGTAACCATGTAAATACCATAATGGTAAAAACCCATTTTAAACCAACGGGGAGGAAAACCCCTTTGGGGAAAATTGGGGGGAAAATTTTTTAAAGTAAAAATTTGGGGTAAAAAGGGGTACCCCGGGGAGGGTAAAAAGAAAGGGGTACAGGTTTGAAAGGGGGGACCCCCAAAGGGGAAAAAAGGGGTCCACTGGGGGGGGCCCTCTGTAGGTACATTAAAATTTTCCTCGTTTTAAGTTTTTATTTTAGGTACATTTTTAAGGAACCCCCCTTTTTAAAATTTTTCCCAAAATTTTTAGGGGCACCTTTAGTTTTTAAAAAATTTTAAGTAAAACCATTTTAAAAGTACCTTGTTTTGCCATGTAAATTTTAACCCCTTGTAAAAATACCCCGATTTGGGGGCCCAGTTGGGGAAAAAAGGGGGGCCAAAGGGAAAAAAGGGAAAACTGTGGGGGACAGAGGGGGAATTTTAAAAAGGGGGGAAAAAAAACCCCTTTAAAAGTTTCCCTTTTTTGGTAAAAATTTTAAAAGGGGGCCATAAGGGGTACATTCGCAAGGGTCAAGTGGGGTACAAAATTTAAGGTAAAGGGCCAAAAAGGGGGGACCCCCAAAATTGGGGAAAAGGGGTAAAAATTTTTGGGGGGGGGGAAGGGGTTTTCAGGAATCGATAAAAATGGAAAAAATTTAAAATTTTCCCTTTACTAAATTTTTTAAAAAAGGGAAGGGAAAAACCCCTTTGAGAGTGAAGGGGGGGAAAATTTTGGGGACGCAAGCAATAAAACTGATCCAAACGACGTCACACATTTCACTGACGTCACAACATTTTATGAAGGAGAGATTACCTCAGTGGTTCAGGCTTTAGGGTTGACTCCATTCAAAGCTCTGCCTTTGGAAGTTATACCTGAACTTCCAACTAGTGCTGTGGTGAGAACCAGTGTTGTCTCTGGGAGTGACAGTGAAGAGGATGGACCGGAAAGCGCGCATTCTCCACACGTGCAAAACGGATCAAGAATCACAGGAATGTTCCTAGAAAATGGGCGTGCTGATTTGAATGTTCACCGGGACGTGGCTTACAGACACTTTCCTCACGCGCATGAAAAACACGACTGGGTGCAGCCTCCAATGTTCAGGAACTTCCTGTGATGGGAGGGTGTATACTATACACCCTGTATACTATACTATACACTGTATAGTATACTATACACTGTATAGTATAGTATACTATACACTGTATAGTTGACCTGTTTAATCGGTGAATTGTGTCTATTTTTTAGCTTGAATTAAAGGACACGAATAAAAGATAGTTTGCAACATGATCGTTTTTATAACATAGATAATTTGCATGGTTACAAATCCTTAGTAAAAGTTGATAAAAATAACCTGTTCGTATTTGTGTGAGAGATCTTGGTACATTTCCCTCTGTTCCTCCATTTCAGCCACTGTACCCTCTATTTCAACAAATGAAGTTTCCCGAACATTCTCTACTTCCTCTAGAAGTTTGGTCTCTTTCTCTTTAAAAGAGGAGATAATTTCCTCTCGCTCTGTCTCCAGGACAGATAGCTCCTGGTCGTGGTCTTGAAGTGTTTGTACATTGTCCCCTTGTAACTGCAGGGTTGTCAGGCTGTCAACTGTCATGCATCCTGAACTACTTAGTACTTCTTCTACTAACACTAATACTACTTACTGCACCGTGTACTAATACCGAGCTCAGACCTCAAATAGCATTGAAAATATTTTAAATTAACGTTTGGAACCTTAATATGGCAACTTGAACGTGCTAAAATGTATAGGTACCTTGAAGATCTCCTCATTCAGGATATCTATCTCCTGATCCTTCTCCCTTAATACTATCTGAGACTCATCCAATGTAGCCACCAAGTCTTCATTCTTCTTAGCTGATTCCTTCTTCTCCTCTTCCAAATCTTCGTTTTTCTTCTGGAGATCTCTCTTTATCTCCTCGTGACGAACCCTCAGAATCTCTGCCTCTTCTTTTTGTTCTATCTTTATCGACTCTATCAGATCGTTGTATTCTGATACCAAACACTTTCGTTCTGATAGATTCTTCCTTTCCATCTCCTGTGAGAAATACAAGACTAGAAATACAAGCCTGGGAGCTATATTTAGCGGGGGGAGGGGGGTAAACTACAGGGGGGGGGTACACTACAGGGGGGTACACTACAGGGGGTACACTACAGGAGGGGGTACACTACAGAGGGGGTACACTACAGGGGGGTACACTACAGGAGGGGGGTACACTACAGGAGGGGGGTACACTACAGGGGGGTACACTACAGGAGGGGGGTACACTACAGGAGGGGGGTACACTACAGGGGGGTACACTACAGGAGGGGGGTACACTACAGGAGGGGGGTACACTACAGGAGGGGGGTAGGAGGTAAACTACAGAGGGGGTACACTACAGGGGGGTACACTACAGGAGGGGGGTACACTACAGGGGGGGTAGGGGGTACACTACAGGAGGGGGGTAGGGGGTACACTACAGGGGGGTACACTACAGGGGGTAGGGGGTACACTACAGGGGGGGTAGGGGGTACACTACAGAGGGGGTACACTACAGCATTTAGCATCATAGGACTTTAATGAGTGGACGTGAAGAGATTGTGGTTAAAAGTAACCATATTAACAATTACAGTAACCATAGTAACAATTACAGTAACCATAGTAACAATTACAGTAACCATGGTAACAATTACAGTAACCATAATAACAATTACAGTAACCATAGTAACAATCACAGTAACCATAGTAACAATTACAGTAACCATAGTAACAAATACAGTAACCATAGTAACAATTACAGTAACCATAGTAACAATTACAGTAACCATAGTAACCACCTGCAAGATATCACAGTTCTTGTCCACCAGACTAGTCACCTCCTCCTCGTGTATACGACTCAGGTCCTCTAACTCCTTCTCATGCTCACTAAGGAGGTTAGACACCTGTCTGCCATGTTTTGAGACGAGGTTACCTAGTTCCACAGCATGTTGCTCCATATCATGCTGTTTGGAAGCTAGGTTCTCTTTTAGAACTGCTACTTTGTCCTGGAGACGGCATATTTCCTCGTCTTTCTTAATTCCACTCAGTTCTAGCTCTGATATTTCTAATTTAAAGGCTGATTCTGATTTTGAGTTGGCTTCTGTGATCTGAAAACAAGTTATCCAGTGAACTATGCGTATAAAAAACAGTTGGAATCAAATAAGGAAACAAAATGCTTTAACAACCCCCCCTTAAAAAATAACAAACCGTTTCAATTTGATGCTGCAGTCTCGCAGTGTTCTCGAGCAGCAGCTCGCTCGTCTCCTTTCCCTCTTTCTCAAACCTATCACATGTTTCTTGTAAGTTTCTCAACTTTTCACCAAATATCTCTGCGTCTTTTTGGTGAGTTTCCTCCAACTGGGAACGAGAGTTATGTTAAAGTATTTCCATGATATAATGTTACTATGGTAACATATAATATTACTATGGTTTCTTGGCCGGTTGTTGGGGGTGTGGGGGTTTAGGGGGGCAATGACCTTATATGGAATAATCAATGTCTATTAACTCAAATGTTTTTCTGTTTTCTCCATAGAAATTTATGCCATTAGAAAAACCAACATTTTACAAAATTTCGGCCTTAAATGTTAAAGAACGATATAAATTGAATTTTTGCCCTTTTATCGCATTTCAACCTTAAACAATTTTCAGGCTCGAACATGAGGGTTGTAAAAAAATGTATGTGTAAATAAACATGTTAGGATGTCCAATTTAGGCGTCATATATGTCATTCGATGACGAAAATACCATGGTATAAATGGCATAAAATGTCAATTTGTTCAAAGTTTTTTCCATTTTCTCCATAAAAATGTATGCCATTTGAGATCCCCCAACCCTCCCCCCCCCCCCCCCCCCAATCAAATCTTACCCATTGATGATAAGTATGAGGAGGATTGAAGTTATTAACTCTAGCACCACAAGACACAACCTTTAAACAACTGTCACACAAATGCGGGACTTTACTTAAAATACCAAGTCGGGCAGTGGCGCCCCCCTGTAGTCGGGCGCTACAGGGGGCGCCCCCCTGTAGTCGGGCGCTACAGGGGGGCGCCCCCTGTAGTCGGGCAGTACAGGTGGCGCCCCCCTGTAGTCGGGCGCTACAGGGGGCGCCCCCCTGTAGTCGGGCAGTACAGGTGGCGCCCCCCTGTAGTCGGGCGCTACAGGTGGCGCCCCCCTGTAGTCGGGCAGTGGCGCCCCCCTGTAGTCGGGCAGTGGCGCCCCCCTGTAGTCGGGCGCTACAGGGGGCGCCCCCCTGCAGTCGGGCGGTGGCGCCCCCCTGTAGTCGGGCGCTACAGGTGGCGCCCCCCTGTAGTCGGGCAGTGGCGCCCCCCTGTAGTCGGGCGCTACAGGGGGCGCCCCCCTGTACACTACAAGTCGGGCGGGGGACTCAGTGAAATTAAAGGTAAAGTTAACACCAGACATATTAATAACACGTAATAAAGGACGGCGTGTTGTTTTACAGTGTATTTGAAGTGGTGTCAAGTTGCAGGAATTGTGGACGTTATCTACCTGTTTTATTTTATCTTCTGATATCTGGTTGATTTTATCGAGGAGTTTATCTTTATCTGATGATAGGCTGTTGATGAGGAGCGTTTTATCTTGGGCAAACTGAAGAAACGCAGTTTATCAAACATATTCGTATTTATTGAATATTAGCGGGGTAAATATGTCCTTCTCATGTTCCTACCTATTGAAGTTGTAAACTTCACAACAATAAATGTGAGTCTTGTTTGAAACCCCTTACAATTTCTTTCAGTTTTGCGATCTCGCTCTCAAAATGGTTGCTCTTCTCCACAACTTCCTCCCTCAGCCCAGATATAACACCTTCCTTGCTATTTGTATCCTCCGTGTATCTCTCCTTCATTTCTCTCATCTTCTTCTCACATTTCCTCTTGAACTCCGACATGGCTGTACTCGTCTGATCCCTCACTTCACTGAAATGTTACATTTGTCAGGATTTATTTCTTTACAAATGGAGGAACGAAAAAGGAACTGTCATCGTTTTTGTTCAAAGTTGTCAATTGTTTGCTAGACTTGATCAAGTTGCTGAAAAGTGGATGTTTAGAAGTAGACTCGTTGAAATCGGAAGCGAAACATGCAATCAAAGAACTAGCTGAGGTCCAGAGTGAGCTACTGGTTAGCAAAAGGGAACAAATAGATATTCTTCAATCTGGTATTCACCATATTGCAGACTCATGTTTCTCTCTGATACTCTCCATCTCCTCCCTGAACTCTTTGTACATTTCCTCCTTCTGCTCTGTCAGCTGATCGTGCAGAGTCTCCTCGGCCTGGGTAATTAATTATTTAATTAATTATTTAATTAGTAAGCATGCCATTATCTAATTAGCAATCATGTCATCATGTTTATTATTCAGCAGTTACCGCACTATAACTCTATACTACCTGATGTTGCACTTCCTTCACTACGTTGATGGATTCCACAACTTTCTCCTCCAAGATACTGTTCTCAATTTCGTATCTTTCTGTCAGATCGTCTAGACTTTTAATTACTGCTGTCAGCTGTAACATATTCACACTGTTTAACACACTGTTTAACATATTCACACTGTGTAACATATTCACACTGTTTGCAAACCAATAATACCATGTGCTCGCCATGCGGTGCGCGCGCATTTAATTTTACATAAAAAGAGTTTCGCGCGTTACAAAGACGTTCTCTCAAAGTGAGGACCAATGTTACTCCCGCCAAATCGGTGCTATTAAATTTGTAACCCAAGATCAGGGTTGAGTTTCAACCACATTTACGTTGGTGGGAATTTAGACAATGAGATATATCTAATAAGCCAAGATGATTACGTTTCGAAATGAGGCCGATTTTCTTTTGTGGATGGCCGCTCAATTCAGAATATCGTGCAAAATAACTTTGCGGAGTGAGGAACTGTGTGCGCGACAACCATGTACATATGACGACGACGGGCGACGGACACAAGCTACCATATACAAAAAACCCAGAAGGACTTTCTACAAAACTGTACCAAATAAAATGGTCGAAAATCGAGTGTTTCAGTAAATAACATAGAATATATTTTAGATTTTTTTCGATTTCATCCAGATCCTAATATATGATTTATTCGAAACTTTCCAGAATCCAGATAGTAGAATAACTATAATAGGAACAATCTGTGCAAGTTTGGGCGAATTTCAATGCCAAATTGGAGATATCACTTCAAACACAAGAAAATATCTCCAAATTGGTGGTTTTCAGTGGTACCAAGACATTTATCTCGAGATCGTGTTGATCAATTTTCTTTAAACTTTCCAGATAGTAAGATAACTATAATAGGAACAATCTGTGCGAGTTTGGGCGAATGCATTGGTACCAAAGATTTTACCGATTTCGAGATATTTTCTTGTGTTTGAAGTGCTATCTCAAGTTTGGCACATAGAAACTCGCCCAAACGAGATAAATGCCTTGATACCAAGTATTGTACCTTGGTACAGTTTGGTACAGAAAGTCCAACTCAAAAAAACCTCGTTCGCTAACCCTTGTCCTTGACTCTTTTGTGTCTTCAGCGAATCAGCACTTGAGTCATGGATCGGGAAAAAAATAAGATACTCCTCAAATTCTACAGAGTTCAGTAATTTCACGCTCAAGTAACATCTCTATAATTAGTGACGTTATCTCTATAATTAGTGACGTCATCTCTATAATTAGTGACGTCAGCAAACCTGCTGTTCCAGACTCCTCTTCACATCATCTAGAGTAGTGTTGGAACTCTTGGATCTGCAAAGTTCCACCTCCGTTTCTTTTGCTCTCCCCTCCATCTCACTCTTCTCTAGGATAGACCTCTCAAGATCCACTTCTTTCTCTCGTATCTTATCTTCGAATAACTGGATGATGTGTTCTTTCTCTTTTTCTGCTTGTTCCAGTTGAGTCGTCTTCTCGTTAAGTTCGAACGATGCGTCTTCTAGGTCTTTGATGTAGTCCTGGGTAAGAAATAATTATATGAGAAAAACTTTTTATCGGTAACTTACATTAAAAACTGTTCATGATAAGTTTGTCTCTGCAATTTGTAGGGCTGCCATTAAGTAGCTGTGATTCTATTTAAAATAGAGTTAAAATTTATAACGATCAAAACAAGCACTTTACTTGAAGAGCACAAAACTTTCGAAATGACGAATAAAAGACTGCGTAAGCGCAGCAGATGCGTAGCTGAAAATACTGAAGTAGCTGAAAATACTAAAGTAGCTGAAAATAATAAAGTAGCTGAAAATACTAAAGTAGCTGAAAATACTAAAGTAGCTGAAAATACTAAAGTAGCTGAAAATACTAAAGTAGATGAAAATAATAAAGTAGCTGAAAATACTAAAGTAGCTGAAAATACTAAAGTAGCTGAAAATACTGAAGTAGCTGAAAATACTAAAGTAGCTGAAAATACTAAAGTAGCTGAAAATACTGAAGTAGCTGAAAATACTAAAGTAGCTGAAAATACTAAAGTAGCTGAAAATACTAAAGTAGCTGAAAATACTAAAGTTGCTGAAAATAGCAAAGTAGCTGAAAATACTAAAGTAGCTGAAAATACTGAAGTAGCTGAAAATACTAAAGTAGCTGAAAATAATAAAGTAGCTGAAAATACTGAAGTAGCTGAAAATACTAAAGTAGCTGCAAATACTAAAGCAGCTGAAAATAATAAAGCAGCTGAAAATACTAAAGTAGCTGAAAATACTGAAGTAGCTGAAAATACTTAAGTAGCTGAAAATACTAAAGTAGCTGAAAAAACTAAAGGAGCTGAAAATACTAAAGTAGCTGAAAATACTAAAGTAGCTGAAAATACTAAAGTAGCTGCAAATAATAAAGTAGCTGAAAATACTGAAGTAGCTGAAAATACTAAAGTAGCTGCAAATAATAAAGTAGCTGAAAATACTAAAGTAGCTGAAAATACTGAAGTAGCTGAAAATACTGAAGTAGCTGAAAATACTTAAGTAGCTGAAAATACTAAAGTAGCTGAAAATACTAAAGTAGCTGAAAATACTAAAGTAGCTGAAAATACTAAAGTAGATGAAAATAATAAAGTAGCTGAAAATACTAAAGTAGCTGAAAATACTAAAGTAGCTGAAAATACTAAAGTAGCTGAAAATACTAAAGTAGCTGAAAATACTAAAGTAGCTGAAAATACTAAAGTAGCTGAAAATACTGAAGTAGCTGAAAATACTGAAGTAGCTGAAAATACTAAAGTAGCTGAAAATACTAAAGTAGCTGAAAATACTAAAGTAGCTGAAAATACTAAAGTTGCTGAAAATAGCAAAGTAGCTGAAAATACTAAAGTAGCTGAAAATACTAAAGTAGATGAAAATAATAAAGTAGCTGAAAATACTAAAGTAGCTGAAAATACTAAAGTAGCTGAAAATACTAAAGTAGCTGAAAATACTAAAGTAGCTGAAAATACTAAAGTAGCTGAAAATACTAAAGTAGCTGAAAATACTAAAGTAGCTGAAAATAATAAAGTAGCTGAAAATACTAAAGTAGCTGAAAATACTTAAGTAGCTGAAAATACTAAAGTTGCTGAAAATACTAAAGTTGCTGAAAATAGCAAAGTAGCTGAAAATACTAAAGTAGCTGAAAATACTAAAGGAGCTGCAAAGCACTTACTTTCAGGGACTGAAAACAGGACGAAGAACTCTGAAAATCAAGAAATATCAACACCTACAAACTTCATCTCTTTAATTATTAAGCTTCATTTTATGGGTTGTAAAAGCCGTGATGATAACTTTGTTCATCTCATATAATATTTAAAAACAACAACTAAACTTCCTTGAGAATTGCTGATGAGAGTCCTATATACAAGGACCACGGGGAGGGGGAGGGGGAGGGGGAGGAGGAGGGGGAGGGGGAGGGGAGGGGGAGGGGGAGGGGGAGGGGGACAACACACTTATTACACTAATTAATATACATAGCATAGCACAATAAACAGGAAAATAAATGCGGCACCTACTAAAAACAGAAACTAACTAATTAACCAACTAATTAGCAACTAAATAACTCTTAAAAGTAGCTGGGGGGGGGGGGGGGTGGTTTTGAAAATTCGGACACACCCGGACAGGGGGAGGGGGTGGTCTGAAAATCTGCGATTTTTGCGGACGTCCTAAGTATATGGCCCCTAATATAACTGATAAACAATAATTTACCATGTTCTGCTGCTGTAGATTAGCGCAGCACTTCATCATGTCCTGATATTCTGCTACCTGTTGCTCTATATCCAGCTCCAGTGTGTCCCTCACTGCTTTCACCTCTTCCACCTGTGGGAGGGGGTGACGTCATACCTGCATCATACCTACATCATACCTACGTCATACATACGTCATACCTACGTCATACCTACGTCATACATACGTCATACCTATGTCATACCTACATCATACCTACATAATACCTACGTCATACCTACGCCATACCTACATCATTTATAAACCTTAGCAATAAGTAGCTATTATAAACCTTAGTAATAAGTAGCTGTTATAAACCTTAGTAATAAGTAGCTATTATAAACCTTAGTAATAAGTAGCTATTATAAACCTTAGTAATAAGTAGCTATTATAAACCTTAGTAATAAGTAGCTATTATAAACCTTAGTAATAAGTAGCTATTATAAACCTTAGTAATAAGTAGCTATTATAAACCTTAGTAATAAGTAGCTATTATAAACCTTAGTAATAGTAGCTATTATAAACCTTAGTAATTAGTAGCTATTATAAACCTTAGTTATAAGTAGCTATTATAAACCTTAGTAATAAGTAGCTATTATAAACCTTAGTAATAAGTAGCTATTATAAACCTTAGTAATAAGTAGCTATTATAAACCTTAGTAATAGTAGCTATTATAAACCTTAGTAATAAGTAGCTATTATAAACCTTAGTAATAAGTAGCTATTATAAACCTTAGTAATAGTAGCTATTATAAACCTTAGTAATAAGTAGCTATTATAAACCTTAGTAATAAGTAGCTATTATAAACCTTAGTAATAAGTAGCTATTATAAACCTTAGTAATAAGTAGCTATTATAAACCTTAGTAATAAGTAGCTATTATTAACCTTAGTAATAAGTAGCTATTATAAACCTTAGTAATAGTAGCTATTATAAACCTTAGTAATAAGTAGCTATTATAAACCTTAGTAATAAGTAGCTATTATAAACCTTAGTAATAAGTAGCTATTATAAACCCTAGTAATAAGTAGCTATTATAAACCTTAGTAATAAGTAGCTATTATAAACCTTAGTAATTAGTAACCATAGTAACCTTAGTAATTAGCAACTCTTTCTCCTCTCCCAACCGCTCATTATCTACTCTCAGTTTACAGTTGTCGTTGTAGAACCTCTCCCTTTCACCTGATAAAACTACTAGTTGCTGTCCTAAATCCTTTAGCTGGGATTTTAGTGAGCTGATGTCTCCTGCTGTCTCCTGCAGAGCAGTCTGATATATTATTAGTACACGTGGTGGTAATAGTCAAATATAGTGGTGGTTATAGTGAAATATAGTGGTGGTAATAGTGAAATATAGTGGTGGTAATAGTGAAATATAGTGGTGGTAATAGTGAAATATAGTGGTGGTAATAGTGAAATATAGTGGTGGTAATAGTGAAATATAGTGGTGGTAATAGTGAAACATAGTGGTGGTAATAGTGAAACATAGTGGTGGTAATAGTGAAATATAGTGGTGGTAATAGTGAAATATAGTGGTGGTAATAGTGAAATAAAGTGGTGATAATAGTGAAATATAGTGGCGGTAATAGTGAAATATAGTGGTGGTAATAGTGAAATATAGTGGTGATAATAGTGAAATATAACGGTGATTATAGTGAAATATAGCTGTGATAAAGGTGAAATATAGCTGTGATAGTAGTGATGATAGTCCCCATCCCCTCTAGTTAATGTTACCTCTAATTGGTTCTGCAGTTCTGACACCCTATTATCCGTTTCCTTGTTGAGAGAGTCTACCAAAGCCTCGTAATCATTCTCCACCTGCACATTTTAAACACTGTTAGTAGTAGATATATAGTAACAGTTAACACTGTTAAAGATACTGTTCTCGTGTAGATTACTAACCTGGTTACTAACTAGGTTACTAACCTGGTTACTAACCAGGTTCACTATTACAACTACTATATAACCTGGAATAAATATAACGAACCTGATCTAGGTGAGATTTGAGAGTTTCTATTTCCCCTTCCTTACTGTCCAGAATGTGCTCCAGCTCTCCCTTCTCCTTGTGCCTGTGAGCTACTGCTTCTTCTAACTGGTTACTAGTTTCAGCTAACATATTCTGTGTGCTGGCTAGTTCGTCCGCTAGCGCACTCTTCTCTACCCGCCCTGCTTCTGTTTCCTGGGGTTATCATTATTATTACGCACTCTTCTCTACCCGCCCTGCTTCTGTTTCCTGGGGTTATCATTATTATTACGCACTATTCTCTACCCGCCCTGCTTCTGTTTCCTGGGGTTATCATTATTATTACGCACTCTTCTCTACCCGCCCTGCTTCTGTTTCCTGGGGTTATCATTATTATTACGCACTCTTCTCTACCCGCCCTGCTTCTGTTTCCTGGGGTTATCATTATTATTACGCACTCTTCTCTACCCGCCCTGCTTCTGTTTCCTGGGGTTATCATTATTATTACGCACTCTTCTCTACCCGCCCTGCTTCTGTTTCCTGGGGTTATCATTATTATTACGCACTCTTCTCTACCCGCCCTGCTTCTGTTTCCTGGGGTTATCATTATTATTACGCACTCTTCTCTACCCGCCCTGCTTCTGTTTCCTGGGGTTATCATTATTATTACGCACTCTTCTCTACCCGCCCTGCTTCTGTTTCCTGGGGTTATCATTATTATTACGCACTATTCTCTACCCGCCCTGCTTCTGTTTCCTGGGGTTATCATTATTATTACGCACTCTTCTCTACCCGCCCTGCTTCTGATTCCTGGGGTTATCATTATTATTACGCACTCTTCTCTACCCGCCCTGCTTCTGTTTCCTGGGGTTATCATTATTATTACGCACTCTTCTCTACCCGCCCTGCTTCTGTTTCCTGGGGTTATCATTATTATTACGCACTATTCTCTACCCGCCCTGCTTCTGTTTCCTGGGGTTATCATTATTATTACGCACTCTTCTCTACCCGCCCTGCTTCTGTTTCCTGGGGTTATCATTATTATTACGCACTCTTCTCTACCCGCCCTGCTTCTGTTTCCTGGGGTTATCATTATTATTACGCACTCTTCTCTACCCGCCCTGCTTCTGTTTCCTGGGGTTATCATTATTATTACGCACTCTTCTCTACCCGCCCTGCTTCTGTTTCCTGGGGTTATCATTATTATTACGCACTCTTCTCTACCCGCCCTGCTTCTGTTTCCTGGGGTTACCATTATTATTACGCACTCTTCTCTACCCGCCCTGCTTCTGTTTCCTGGGGTTATCATTATTATTACGCACTCTTCTCTACCCGCCCTGCTTCTGTTTCCTGGGGTTATCATTATTATTACGCACTCTTCTCTACCCGCCCTGCTTCTGTTTCCTGGGGTTATCATTATTATTACGCACTCTTCTCTACCCGCCCTGCTTCTGTTTCCTGGGGTTATCATTATTATTACGCACTCTTCTCTACCCGCCCTGCTTCTGTTTCCTGGGGTTATCATTATTATTACGCACTCTTCTCTACCCGCCCTGCTTCTGTTTCCTGGGGTTATCATTATTATTACGCACTCTTCTCTACCCGCCCTGCTTCTGTTTCCTGGGGTTATCATTATTATTACGCACTCTTCTCTACCCGCCCTGCTTCTGTTTCCTGGGGTTATCATTATTATTACGCACTCTTCTCTACCCGCCCTGCTTCTGTTTCCTGGGGTTATCATTATTATTACGCACTCTTCTCTACCCGCCCTGCTTCTGTTTCCTGGGGTTATCATTATTATTACGCACTCTTCTCTACCCGCCCTGCTTCTGTTTCCTGGGGTTATCATTATTATTACGCACTCTTCTCTACCCGCCCTGCTTCTGTTTCCTGGGGTTATCATTATTATTACGCACTCTTCTCTACCCGCCCTGCTTCTGTTTCCTGGGGTTATCATTATTATTACGCACTCTTCTCTACCCGCCCTGCTTCTGTTTCCTGGGGTTATCATTATTATTACGCACTCTTCTCTACCCGCCCTGCTTCTGTTTCCTGGGGTTATCATTATTATTACGCACTCTTCTCTACCCGCCCTGCTTCTGTTTCCTGGGGTTATCATTATTATTACGCACTCTTCTCTACCCGCCCTGCTTCTGTTTCCTGGGGTTATCATTATTATTACGCACTCTTCTCTACCCGCCCTGCTTCTGTTTCCTGGGGTTATCATTATTATTACGCACTCTTCTCTACCCGCCCTGCTTCTGTTTCCTGGGGTTATCATTATTATTAAGCACTCTTCTCTACCCGCCCTGCTTCTGTTTCCTGGGGTTATCATTATTATTACGCACTCTTCTCTACCCGCCCTGCTTCTGTTTCCTGGGGTTACCATTATTATTACGCACTCTTCTCTACCCGCCCTGCTTCTGTTTCCTGGGGTTATCATTATTATTACGCACTCTTCTCTACCCGCCCTGCTTCTGTTTCCTGGGGTTATCATTATTATTAAGCACTCTTCTCTACCCGCCCTGCTTCTGTTTCCTGGGGTTATCATTATTATTACGCACTCTTCTCTACCCGCCCTGCTTCTGTTTCCTGGGGTTATCATTATTATTACGCACTCTTCTCTACCCGCCCTGCTTCTGTTTCCTGGGGTTATCATTATTATTACGCACTCTTCTCTACCCGCCCTGCTTCTGTTTCCTGGGGTTATCATTATTATTACGCACTCTTCTCTACCCGCCCTGCTTCTGTTTCCTGGGGTTATCATTATTATTACGCACTCTTCTCTACCCGCCCTGCTTCTGTTTCCTGGGGTTATCATTATTATTACGCACTCTTCTCTACCCGCCCTGCTTCTGTTTTCTGGGGTTATCATTATTATTACGCACTCTTCTCTACCCGCCCTGCTTCTGTTTCCTGGGGTTATCATTATTATTACGCACTCTTCTCTACCCGCCCTGCATCTGTTTCCTGGGGTTATCATTATTATTACGCACTCTTCTCTACCCGCCCTGCTTCTGTTTCCTGGGGTTATCATTATTATTACGCACTCTTCTCTACCCGCCCTGCTTCTGTTTCCTGGGGTTATCATTATTATTACGCACTCTTCTCTACCCGCCCTGCTTCTGTTTCCTGGGGTTATCATTATTATTACGCACTCTTCTCTACCCGCCCTGCTTCTGTTTCCTGGGGTTATCATTATTGTTACGTACTCTTCTCTACCCGCCCTGCTTCTGTTTCCTGGGGTTATCATTAATATTACGCACTCTTCTCTACCCGCCCTGCTTCTGTTTCCTGGGGTTTTCATTATTATTACGCACTCTTCTCTACCCGCCCTGCTTCTGTTTCCTGGGGTTATCATTATTATTACGCACTCTTCTCTACCCGCCCTGCTTCTGTTTCCTGGGGTTATCATTATTATTACGCACTCTTCTCTACCCGCCCTGCTTCTGTTTCCTGGGGTTATCATTATTATTACGCACTCTTCTCTACCCGCCCTGCCTCTTGTATAAAGAGGAGAAACTACTTACTAGTACTGTATAAAAGTATAAAGTGTAATAAAAACCTTGAAAATAGATCTTACAACCCGCATATCTCCTCATCAATACGACCAACAGATATTTAGATACGAACACACTAACAAACACAGTAACAAACACAATAACAAACACACTAACAAACACACTAAAAAACTAAGAGTAGAGTTAGAAAGCAAAGCACGTGAAACACACACAAACTACTAATATAGTGCTACTAATATATTGCTCATACTATATATATCAGATCATTAATCAGCAGTAGTACACGGCTTGTCAGAGCACTTCTCATTACTTGTCACGTGGTCACGTGACTTCTCATTATTTGTCACGTGGTCACGTGACTTCTCATTACTTGTCACGTGGTCACGTGACTTCTCATTACTTGTCACGTGGTCACGTGACTTCTCATTACTTGTCACGTGGTCACGTGACTTCTCATTACTTGTCACGTGGTCACGTGACTTCTCATTACTTGTCACGTGGTCACGTGACTTCTCATTACTTGTCACGTGGTCACGTGACTTCTCATTACTTGTCACGTGGTCACGTGACTTCTCATTACTTGTCACGTGGTCACGTGACTTCTCATTACTTGTCACGTGACACGTGACTTCTCATTACTTGTCACGTGACTGGTACTTTGTTTCTTTGTAACTATTAGTTAATATCTCTATACTCTATACTACTATTAATGCTTTTCATACAAGTTACAACAAAGTTTTCATGTTATGTAGCCTGGGTTTGGACAGGCTATTACCCGCTTAAAATATTTCCATAACGATACATAATCAATGTAATTGATTTTTAGAGTTGTAATTAGTTTTTAAAAACATTATAGTATAATGTATATTGAGAGAGTATGCGTGTAGTAGTATGCGTGTAGTAGTATGCGTGTAGTAGTATGCGTGTAGTAGTATGCGTGTAGTAGTATGCGTGTAGTAGTATGCGTGTAGTAGTATGCATGTAGTAGTATGCGTGTAGTAGTATGCGTGTAGTAGTATGCGTGTAGTAGTATGCGTGTAGTAGTATGCGTGTAGTAGTATGCGTGTAGTAGTATGCGTGTAGTAGTATGCGTGTAGTAGTATGCGTGTAGTAGTATGCGTGTAGTAGTATGCGTGTAGTAGTATGCGTGTAGTAGTATGCGTGTAGTAGTATGCGTGTAGTAGTATGCGTGTAGTAGTATGCGTGTAGTAGTATGCGTGTAGTAGTATGCGTGTAGTAGTATGCGTGTAGTAGTATGCGTGTAGTAGTATGCGTGTAGTAGTATGCGTGTAGTAGTATGCGTGTAGTAGTATGCGTGTAGCAGTATGCGTGTAGTAGTATGCGTGTAGTAGTATGCGTGTAGCAGTATGTGTGTAGTAGTATGCGTGTAGCAGTATGTGTGTAGTAGTATGCGTGTAGTAGTATGCGTGTAGTAGTATGCGTGTAGTAGTATGCGTGTAGTAGTATGCGTGTAGTAGTATGCGTGTAGTAGTATGCGTGTAGTAGTATGCGTGTAGTAGTATGCGTGTAGTAGTATGCGTGTAGTAGTATGCGTGTAGTAGTATGCGTGTAGTAGTATGCGTGTAGTAGTATGCGTGTAGTAGTATGCGTGTAGCAGTATGTGTGTAGTAGTATGCGTGTAGTAGTATGCGTGTAGTAGTATGTGTGTAGTAGTATGCGTGTAGTAGTATGTGTGTAGTAGTATGCGTGTAGTAGTATGCGTGTAGTAGTATGCGTGTAGTAGTATGCGTGTAGTAGTATGCGTGTAGTAGTATGTGTGTAGTAGTATGCGTGTAGTAGTATGCGTGTAGTAGTATGCGTGTAGTAGTATGCGTGTAGCAGTATGTGTGTAGTAGTATGCGTGTAGTAGTATGCGTGTAGCAGTATGCGTGTAGTAGTATGCGTGTAGTAGTATGCGTGTAGCAGTATGTGTGTAGTAGTATGCGTGTAGCAGTATGTGTGTAGTAGTATGCGTGTAGTAGTATGCGTGTAGTAGTATGCGTGTAGTAGTATGCGTGTAGTAGTATGCGTGTAGTAGTATGCGTGTAGTAGTATGCGTGTAGTAGTATGCGTGTAGTAGTATGCGTGTAGTAGTATGCGTGTAGTAGTATGCGTGTAGCAGTATGTGTGTAGTAGTATGCGTGTAGTAGTATGCGTGTAGTAGTATGCGTGTAGTAGTATGCGTGTAGTAGTATGCGTGTAGTAGTATGCGTGTAGTAGTATGCGTGTAGTAGTATGTGTGTAGTAGTATGCGTGTAGTAGTATGTGTGTAGTAGTATGCGTGTAGTAGTATGCGTGTAGTAGTATGCGTGTAGTAGTATGCGTGTAGTAGTATGCGTGTAGTAGTATGTGTGTAGTAGTATGCGTGTAGTAGTATGCGTGTAGTAGTATGCGTGTAGTAGTATGCGTGTAGCAGTATGTGTGTAGTAGTATGCGTGTAGTAGTATGTGTGTAGTAGTATGCGTGTAGTAGTATGCGTGTAGTAGTATGCGTGTAGTAGTATGCGTGTAGTAGTATGCGTGTAGTAGTATGCGTGTAGCAGTATGTGTGTAGTAGTATGCGTGTAGTAGTATGCGTGTAGTAGTATGCGTGTAGTAGTATGCGTGTAGTAGTATGCGTGTAGTAGTATGCGTGTAGTAGTATGCGTGTAGTAGTATGCGTGTAGTAGTATGCGTGTAGTAGTATGCGTGTAGTAGTATGCGTGTAGTAGTATGCGTGTAGTAGTATGCGTGTAGTAGTATGCGTGTAGTAGTATGCGTGTAGTAGTATGCGTGTAGTAGTATGCGTGTAGTAGTATGCGTGTAGTAGTATGCGTGTAGTAGTATGCGTGTAGTAGTATGCGTGTAGTAGTATGCGTGTAGTAGTATGCGTGTAGTAGTATGCGTGTAGTAGTATGCGTGTAGTAGTATGCGTGTAGCAGTATGTGTGTTGTAGTATGCGTGTAGTAGTATGCGTGTAGTAGTATGCGTGTAGTAGTATGCGTGTAGTAGTATGCGTGTAGTAGTATGCGTGTAGTAGTATGCGTGTAGTAGTATGCGTGTAGTAGTATATAATAAATAATATCCAGTAGTATTTATACTACTATTTATACTTTATAAAGCATTACCAATCAGTACCTTATAATGAATGGTAAACAATAAGCTGATGTTGAATCTACTAATCTATACGGGTTACACTAGACCTAGTAAACCTCTAACTAATAGAACAAAACAAACACAATTCAAATGAAATGAAAATGTCATTTTGTTTCAAATAAAACGGCAATGATCTCGAGAGAAGAAATACGAGCATCCATTTTAAACGATCACACTAGACGAATTGCAATTGATTTTATCGTATTTCTTCAATTTCAGGTCAAGTAGCGATGACTGAATGGATATTGTATTGCATAGTGTGCCGTACATTGAGGAGCGTAAGGTAAGCGGTGTCATAGCACTGATAACTATGGAGTGCTACCCACAGGCACCTAGATATGCTCTAACTAGTAGTGCCCATCTACCTTTACAACTCTTTAGGCTGGGACAACACATTCCTTACCTGCTTCAACACATTCCTGCACAGAAATGTGAGAAATTATTTGATGACCTAACTATTATCCCTGATTATTACCCATTGATTGCAGTTCTACTATTTAGATTGATCGTAATTGAAAATAGTATTTAATACACATTTTGTTTCTTTAAAAAAAATAATAACTTATTTGTTATATTAATAGATTGACGAGATGAAATTAATTCACGATCAATCAAATACTGACCTGGGTCTGTTCAGATAGTTTCCTCTCCAAAAGTTTCACCTGAATTTCACTTTCATCCTTATCTTGCTCCAGCTCAGATAATTTCTTCTCCTGAAGTTTCACCTGACTTTCACTTTCAGCTTTAACTTGCTTCAGCTCAGATAATTTCTCCTCGATACGTTTCACCTGAATTTCACTTTCATCCTTTTCTTGCTTCATTTGAGAGACTATAAGAGACAACTCTGTCTTCTCTTTTTCAACTGTGTCTAGTTTCAAAGAGAACCACTCCTTCATGTCAACAAGCTGAAACCAAGTCCTATTGTGAACAAGGTATATGTAAATATGTGTAGTACCTCAGTGTATATGTGAATATGTGTAGTATCTCAGTGTTAAGGTATATGTAAATATGTGTAGTACCTCAGTGTTAAGGTATATGTAAATATGTGTAGTACCTCAGTGTTAAGGTATATGTAAATATGTGTAGTACCTCAGTGTTAAGGTATATGTAAATATGTGTAGTACCTCAGTGTTAAGGTATATGTAAATATGTGTAGTACCTCAGTGTTAAGGTATATGTAAATATGTGTAGTACCTCAGTGTTAAGGTATATGTAAATATGTGTAGTACCTCAGTGTTAAGGTATATGTGAATATGTGTAGTACCTCAGTGTTAAGGTATATGTGAATATGTGTAGTACCTCAGTGTTAAGGTATATGTAAATATGTGTAGTACCTCAGTGTTAAGGTATATGTAAATATGTGTAGTACCTCAGTGTTAAGGTATATGTAAATATGTGTAGTACCTCAGTGTTAAGGTATATGTAAATATGTGTAGTACCTCAGTGTTAAGGTATATGTAAATATGTGTAGTACCTCAGTGTTAAGGTAAATATGTGTAGTACCTCAGTGTTAAGGTAAATATGTGTAGTACCTCAGTGTTAAGCGTCTGATTTTCTTCTTCTTTCTCATTCTCTGTTTCCATGCCTGAGAAAAAATCAGACTTTAAACCTCATAGTTTCTCACAAACTATTACTCTTAACGTTAAATGATTACCTTACTCGGGAATATTATAGCGGGTTAATTTATGACTGGGAAAATTAATGACCGGGAAAAATATGGCGGACTTTCCCAAAACCCGCCAAATTATCCCGGTCATGTATTTACCGGTGGCCGACCTTTGAAGTTTTTTTTTCAGAGGTCAACAAATTTCTAACCGAAATTTCTGTTTTTGTTACTTGTTAAAGAAGTTATTTCAATTTACAGTTATATTATTATGAGTTATTGATATTACTCAGAAATAGAAAAAAAGACACGTCTATTTAAAGGAGAATAAATCTAAGCAATAATAAGTCAAATCTTCATTAAAGCGTATTCTCATTCTCATTATCGCTAATGTCCCCGCCATTATCATTATCGATATCCCCCTGAGCTGCTGACCGTCAAATTCGAAGTTGTATTGTTGTCTTAACAAGACTTTCATTTTGTCCGCTAATGGGGCTACTGCTCTGAAGGTCAGTCGGAGCTTAATTTCCTGCCCACCGCTTGGTATTGGGGAACGTCTTGGCTTTGCATCTTCAACTGCTCCAGTAATCAATCCACCGTGGACCGGTTTTTTTTATGACTGGTAAAATTTTTGACCGGGAAAAATATGGCGAAATCTTCCAAAACCCACCACTAAACGGATTATCCCGGTTATAATATTCCCGAGTAAGGTATATCCAAAGTTTGTTCGCCATTGGGGTGTGTCTGGGTGTCAAAGATCTTCAAGGTGGGTGCTACTTGTGATGAACTTTAGAAGGATGGGATGGTAATACTCGGTCTGGCCGCCTGGAAGCCCATAGAATTCCAGTTCAGAAACCGAGTTACGAGGTGCAGCTACTGATGAGAAGCCTCCTTAAAGTTTATTTGGGTTAGAAACGACATCTGGGTCCCTACCCTCGCACAAGATTATTCTCAATTTTCTTGTCGTGTTCCACAACTCACAAACTATTACTCTTAACGTTAAATGGTGCGTTAAGTTAGATATTAAAATACAGAAAAAATTTGAACCAATTCATATTCACGAAAAAATGTATGATAAAAGATATGTGCAAATGCGCTATTTGCACCCACGCCCCTTCCCCTCCCCACTGAAATAACGTCTCTCACTTACCCTCCCCTCCCCCGCCCCCTCCCCACTGAAATAACGTCTCTCACTTACCCTCCCCTCCCCCGCCCCCTCCCCACTCCCACTGAAATAACGTCTCTCACTTACCCTCCCCCGCCCCCTCCCCACTCCCACTGAAATAACGTCTCTCACCTCCCCTCCCCCGCCCCCTCCCCACTCCCACTGAAATAACGTCTCTCACCTCCCCTCCCCCGCCCTACTCCCACTGAAATAACGTCTCTCACAGTGTATATGTGTCTCTCACTTACCCTGTTTCTTGAGTTTAGTGCACTCAGTCTCAGCCTCGTCCAGTGCACACTTAGTGTTCTCTAACTCTACTGACAGGTCGGTAACCGTCGTCTGCAGCTATAATAGGGAGGCATTAGCTAGCTACTGCAGCTATATTAGGGAGGCATTAGCTAGCTACTGCAGCTATAATAGGGAGGCATTAGCTAGCTACTGCAGCTATAATAGGGAGGCATTAGCTACCTACTGCAGCTATAATAGGGAGGCATTAGCTAGCTACTGCAGCTATAATAGGGAGGCATTAGCTAGCTACTGCAGCTATAATAGGGAGGCATTAGCTAGCTACTGCAGCTATAATAGGGAGGCATTAGCTACCTACTGCAGCTATAATAGGGAGGCATTAGCTAGCTACTGCAGCTATAATAGGGAGGCATTAGCTAGCTACTGCAGCTATAATAGGGAGGCATTAGCTAGCTACTGCAGCTATAATAGGGAGGCATTAGCTAGCTACTGCAGCTATAATAGGGAGGCATTAGCTACCTACTGCAGCTATAATAGGGAGGCATTAGCTAGCTACTGCAGCTATAATAGGGAGGCATTAGCTAGCTACTGCAGCTATAATAGGGAGGCATTAGCTAGCTACTGCAGCTATAATAGGGAGGCATTAGCTAGCTACTGCAGCTATAATAGGGAGGCATTAGCTACCTACTGCAGCTATACTAGGGAGGCATTAGCTAGCTACTGCAGCTATAATAGGGAGGCATTAGCTAGCTACTGCAGCTATAATAGGGAGGCATTAGCTAGCTACTGCAGCTATAATAGGGAGGCATTAGCTAGCTACTGCAGCTATAATATGGAGGCATTAGCTAGCTACTGCAGCTATAATAGGGAGGCATTAGCTAGCTACTGCAGCTATAATAGGGAGGCATTAGCTAGCTACTGCAGCTATAATAGGGAGGCATTAGCTAGCTACTGCAGCTATAATAGGGAGGCATTAGCTAGCTACTGCAGCTATAATAAGGAGGCATTAGCTAGCTACTGCAGCTATAATAGGGAGGCATTAGCTAGCTACTGCAGCTATAAAAGGGAGGCATTAGTTAGCTACTGCAGCTATAATAGGGAGGCATTAGCTAGCTACTGCAGCTATAATAGGGAGGCATTAGCTACCTACTGCAGCTATAATAGGGAGGCATTAGCTAGCTACGGTAACACGAAATCTGTCCGACAGCGACATCTGTCCGACTCAGGGTACCAACAAACAAAAAACTGTCCGAAATTGTGATCTGATTTCAATACGACACATTTCCAATTATTAGAGAAATTTCTTATTACTCACTCTTTGAAACTGAAATCTATACAATAATTTCTTATTACTCACTCTTTTGAAACTTAAATCTATACAATTATTTCTTATTACTCACTCTTTTGATAAGATCACCAGATACCAGACTCTTTTCTTGGAGTGCTGCCAACTCTGAAGCGCGAGCCGTGCTTGCTGTTTTCTCTTCCTCCAACTTCAGGATAGAACTTTCCAACACTTTCACCTGGTTAGTAGTAGATAATAGTAGATAGTGGATCACATCAGGATTCATGTTACAAAGATGATTACCTAGAGACTTGTTAGGAAAAACAGCATCTCGTTATAATTATATAAATCCTAAAGTTATAACTGATAAGCTAATAACCAGAGATAAGAGTAATAGTGTAATGCTTTTGAAGGGAAACACACAACGTAAGGGAAACACACAACGTAAGGGAAACACACAACGTAAGGGAAACACACAACGTAAGGGAAACACACAACGTAAGGGAAACACACAACGTAAGGGAAACACACAACGTAAGGGAAACACACAACGTAAGGGAAACACACAACGTAAGGGAAACACACAACGTAAGAGAAACACACAACGTAAGGGAAACACACAACGTAAGGGAAACACACAACGTAAGGGAAACACACAACGTAAGAGAAACACACAACGTAAGGGAAACACACAACGTAAGGGAAACACACAACGTAAGGGAAACACACAACGTAAGGGAAACACACAACGTAAGGGAAACACACAACGTAAGGGAAACACACAACGTAAGGCTTGAATTCGTCGTAAAACGACATCATTAGAGCCTGTGAAAACTTTTAACTTTAAGATAAGCACTCTATCAAGTAAAATTCAAGAGTAATAGTGACTCTCCTAAAACAGCAGAGAACCGTATACCTTGTGTTTATGTTGCACATACCTAGTGTTTATGTTGCAAATACCTTGTATTTATGTTGCACATACCTTGTGTTAATGTTGCACATATATTGTGTTTATGTTGCACATACCTAGTGTTAATGTTGCACATACCTTGTATTTATGTTGCTCCATATCAACAGCCCGTTCGCGTTCAATCTTCTGTACTTGTTCAGTTAGCTGACCTATGTTCTCCTTACACTCCACTCTGCACTATACAGGGGGTTATAGTTTACTCACTATACAGGGGGTTATAGTTTACTCACTATACAGGGGGTTATAGTTTACTCACTATACAGGGGGTTATAGTTTACTCACTATACAGGGGGTTATAGTTTACTCACTATACAGGGGGTTATAGTTTACTCACTATACAGGGGGTTATAGTTTACTCACTATACAGGGGGTTATAGTTTACTCACTATACAGGGGGTTATAGTTTACTCACTATACAGGGGGTTATAGTTTACTCACTATACAGGGGGTTATAGTTTACTCACTATACAGAAGGTTATAGTTTACTCACTATACAGGGGGTTATAGTTTACTCACTATACAGGGGGTTATAGTTTACTCACTATACACTATACAGGGGGTTATAGTTTACTCACTATACAGGGGGTTATAGTTTACTCACTATACAGGGGGTTATAGTTTACTCACTATACAGGGGGTTATAGTTTACTCGCTATACAGGGGGTTACAGTTTACTCACTATACAGGGGGTTATAGTTTACTCACTATACAGGGGGTTATAGTTTACTCACTATACAGGGGGTTATAGTTTACTCGCTATACAGGGGGTTATAGTTTACCCACTATACAGGGGGTTATAGTTTACTAACTATACAGGGGGTTATAGTTTACTCACTATACAGGGGGTTATAGTTTACTCACTATACAGGGGGTTATAGTTTACCCACTATACAGGGGGTTATAGTTTACCCACTATACAGGGGGTTATAGTTTACTCACTATACAGGGGGTTATAGTTTACTCACTATACAGGGGGTTATAGTTTACTCACTATACAGGGGGTTATAGTTTACTCACTATACAGGGGGTTATAGTTTACCCACTATACAGGGGGTTATAGTTTACTCACTATACAGGGGGTTATAGTTTACCCACTTTTCAGGGGGTTATAGTTTACTCACTATACAGGGGGTTATAGTTTACCCACTATACAGGGGGTTATAGTTTACTCACTATACAGGGGGTTATAGTTTACTCACTATACAGGGGGTTATAGTTTACCCACTATACAGGGGGTTATAGTTTACTCACTATACAGAGGGTTATAGTTTACCCACTATACAGGGGGTTATAGTTTACTCACTATACAGGGGGTTATAGTTTACTCACTTTACAGGGGGTTATAGTTTACTCACTATACAGGGGGTTATAGTTTACTCACTATACAGGGGGTTATAGTTTACTCACTAAACAGGGGGTTATAGTTTACTCACTATACAGGGGGTTATAGTTTACCCACTATACAGGGGGTTATAGTTTACTCACTATACAGGGGGTTATAGTTTACTCACTTTACAGGGGGTTATAGTTTACTCACTATACAGGGGGTTATAGTTTACTCACTATACAGGGGGTTATAGTTTACTCACTAAACAGGGGGTTATAGTTTACTCACTAAACAGGGGGTTATAGTTTACTCACTATACAGGGGGTTATAGTTTACTCACTATACAGGGGGTTATAGTTTACTCACTATACAGGGGGTTATAGTTTACTCACTATACAGGGGGTTATAGTTTACTCACTATACAGGGGGTTATAATTTACTCACTATACAGGGGGTTATAGTTTACTCACTATATAGGGGGTTACAATTTACTCACTATACAGGGGGTTACAGTTTACTCACTATACAGGGGGTTACAGTTTACTCACTATACAGGGGGTTATAGTTTACTCACTATACACTATACAGGGGTTATAGTTTACTCACTATACAGGGGGTTATAGTTTACTCACTATACACTATACAGGGGTTATAGTTTACTCACTATACAGGGGGTTATAGTTTACTCACTATACAGGGTGTTACAGTTTACTCACTATACAGGGGGTTACAGTTTACTCACTATACAGGGGGTTACAGTTTACTCACTATACAGGGGGTTATAGTTTACTCACTATACACTATACAGGGGTTATAGTTTACTCACTATACAGGAGGTTATAGTTTACTCACTATACAGGGGGTTATAGTTTACTCACTATACAGGGGGTTACAGTTTACTCACTATACAGGGGGTTATAGTTTACTCACTATACAGGGGGTTATAGTTTACTCACTATACAGGGGGTTATAGTTTACTCACTATACAGGGGGTTATAGTTTACTCACTATACAGGGGGTTATAGTTTACTCACTATACAGGGGGTTATAGTTTACTCACTATACAGGGGGTTATAGTTTACTCACTATACAGGGGGTTATAGTTTACTCACTATACAGGGGGTTATAGTTTACTCACTATACAGGGGGTTATAGTTTACTCACTATACAGGGGGTATAGTTTACTCACTATACAGGGGGTTATAGTTTACTCACTATACAGGGGGTTACAGTTTACTCACTATACAGGGGGTATAGTTTACTCACTATACAGGGGGTATAGTTTACTCACTATACAGGGGGTTATAGTTTACTCACTATACAGGGGGTTATAGTTTACTCACTATACAGGGGGTTATAGTTTACTCACTATACAGGGGGTTATAGTTTACTCACTATACACTATAAAGGGGGTTATAGTTTACTCACTATACAGGGGGTTATAGTTTACTCACTATACACTATACAGGGGGTTATAGTTTACTCACTATACAGGGGGTTATAGTTTACTCACTATACAGGGGGTTATAGTTTACTCACTATACAGGGGGTTATAGTTTACTCACTATACAGGGGGTTATAGTTTACTCACTATACAGGGGGTTATAGTTTACTCACTATACACTATACAGGGGGTTATAGTTTACTCACTATACAGGGGGTTATAGTTTACTCACTATACAGGGGGTTACAGTTTACTCACTATACAGGGGGTTACAGTTTACTCACTATACAGGGGGTTATAGTTTACTCACTATACACTATACAGGGGTTATAGTTTACTCACTATACAGGGGGTTATAGTTTACTCACTATACACTATACAGGGGTTATAGTTTACTCACTATACAGGGGGTTATAGTTTACTCACTATACAGGGGGTTACAGTTTACTCACTATACAGGGGGTTACAGTTTACTCACTATACAGGGGGTTACAGTTTACTCACTATACAGGGGGTTATAGTTTACTCACTATACACTATACAGGGGTTATAGTTTACTCACTATACAGGAGGTTATAGTTTACTCACTATACAGGGGGTTATAGTTTACTCACTATACAGGGGGTTACAGTTTACTCACTATACAGGGGGTTATAGTTTACTCACTATACAGGGGGTTATAGTTTATTCACTATACAGGGGGTTATAGTTTACTCACTATACAGGGGGTTATAGTTTACTCACTATACAGGGGGTTATAGTTTACTCACTATACAGGGGGTTATAGTTTACTCACTATACAGGGGGTTATAGTTTACTCACTATACAGGGGGTTATAGTTTACTCACTATACAGGGGGTTATAGTTTACTCACTATACAGGGGGTATAGTTTACTCACTATACAGGGGGTTATAGTTTACTCACTATACAGGGGGTTATAGTTTACTCACTATACAGGGGGTATAGTTTACTCACTATACAGGGGGTTATAGTTTACTCACTATACAGGGGGTTATAGTTTACTCATTATACAGGGGGTTATAGTTTACTCACTATACAGGGGGTTATAGTTTACTCACTATACACTATACAGGGGGTTATAGTTTACTCACTATACAGGGGGTTATAGTTTACTCACTATACACTATACAGGGGGTTATAGTTTACTCACTATACAGGGGGTTATAGTTTACTCACTATACAGGGGGTTATAGTTTACTCACTATACAGGGGGTTATAGTTTACTCACTATACAGGGGGTTATAGTTTACTCACTATACAGGGGGTTATAGTTTACTCACTATACACTATACAGGGGGTTATAGTTTACTCACTATACAGGGGGTTATAGTTTACTCACTATACAGGGGGTTATAGTTTACTCACTATACAGGGGGTTATAGTTTACTCACTATACAGGGGGTTATAGTTTACTCACTATACAGGGGGTTATAGTTTACTCACTATACAGGGGGTTATAGTTTACTAACTATACAGGGGGTTATAGTTTACTCACTATACAGGGGGTTATAGTTTACTCACTATACACTATACAGGGGGTTATAGTTTACTCACTATACAGGGGGTTATAGTTTACTCACTATACACTATACAGGGGGTTATAGTTTACTCACTATACAGGGGGTTATAGTTTACTCACTATACAGGGGGTTATAGTTTACTCACTATACAGGGGGTTATAGTTTACTCACTATACAGGGGGTTATAGTTTACTCACTATACAGGGGGTTATAGTTTACTCACTATACACTATACAGGGGGTTATAGTTTACTCACTATACAGGGGGTTATAGTTTACTCACTATACAGAGGGTTATAGTTTACTCACTATACAGGGGGTTATAGTTTACTCACTATACAGGGGGTTATAGTTTACTCACTATACAGGGGGTTATAGTTTACTCACTATACAGGGGGTTATAGTTTACTAACTATACAGGGGGTTATAGTTTACTCACTATACAGGGGGTTATAGTTTACTCACTATATAGGGGGTTATAGTTTACTCACTATACAGGGGGTTACAGTTTACTCACTATACAGGGGGTTACAGTTTACTCACTATACAGGGGGTTAAAGTTTACTCACTATACACTATACAGGGGGTTATAGTTTACTCACTATACAGGGGGTTATAGTTTACTCACTATACAGGGGGGTTATATTTTACTCACTATACAGGGGGTTATATTTTACTCACTATACAGGGGGTTATAATTTACTCACTATACACTATACAGGGGGTTATAGTTTACTCACTATACAGGGGGTTATAGTTTACTCACTATACAGGGGGTTATAGTTTACTCACTATACAGGGGTTACAGTTTACTCACTATACAGGGGGTTATAGTTTACTCACTATACAGGGGGTTATAGTTTAC